CCTAGGGCAATGACAACTGAGCTGAGTAGGAGTAAGCCAAACCAAGGAAAGGTGGGAAGGGCAGGCAGGCTGTGGAGAAGGAATGACATGAGCAGAAGCACAGAGGCACAAAGCAACTTGACATGTCAGGGGAGCTGCAAGCAGGCTGAGATTAGTAGAGCAACGTGTCACTGGGGTGGGGGTGGGGGCCGGCAAGAAACGCAGCAGAGTGAGAGGAGGCAGGCGCCAGCCTCCCTGGCTAAACGGTGAGGCTCTACCCAAAGGAGAGCCCCTCAAGGATTTGAAGTAGGGCTGTGGTAGGGTCAGATTTACATCTTAATTAAACCGTCTGTCAGTTTGGGGGGAAATCGTTCAAGCTGCCTGCAATAAATGAATTAAGGATTTTTATGTGAAGGATGAATGTGCAGATCTAGCCATGGTTGAGTGCACAGCGATCTCTTCCAAGAGGGCTTATCATTAGTCTGAGGAGTGTGGGGCGATGTGGCTAAAACTATCTGTAGGTAGATCTGTCTGCATTTGTAAAGCTCCTAACGTCTTTAGGGAGCATGCAGGTCCTCTAAAAGGTGGGGTTTGAAGAAAGGCATCACTTCTCTGCTGTGTCATGCATTACATGCTAAGAATTCAAACTGTGCTATCATCTGCTTTGTTTAGCAAAAATCCTCTGGAAAAGCACTCTTTAACCTGAGCTGCAGCCATCTCAATCTTTCTGAAAAGGAATATTTTGGATTAGAGTTCTGCAGCCATTCTGGAAATAATGTAAGTGGGTTTTATTACGGGGTTGTATGTATCTAGAAATGCTTCAAAATGCAGTTTGCACCTAAGTACACAAGGCTCAATACCATATTGAAAATACAAAACCTATTTATACCTTGCAAAATAACTCTATTTAAAGCTGCCCTCCCTCCCCCTGCTTTGTTCATTAAGCTGCCTTGGTCTGCCAAACAAATCCTTCTGCCTCCTGATCCTTTTCTGTTACTCTTTGACCAGCTATCAAAGCTTTATCTGTTTTGAATGGTTGGACCTTAACCCCCAGAATTAAGACTCCTGACCTCATGACTATTTAGGGAGATTTCTTTCCCTGTTTCTCAGGCCATAGCTTTCAGAAGGTTCTTGTGCTACAATTTGCCTTGGCATATCTGCAATCTGGCACCTTCCAAGGAAGGCTCATTATTAAGTGGGCTTTGGCAAGGGTAAGGGTAGGGGGACTATAGGACTCCGATGTGAAGCCAAATGCCTTTATGAGTCTTTGTAGCCACTGATGAGCCTTGCCTGTGACACTTCTATCATCCTTCCAAGGCGGGGAAGCAGTGATTGAAATGTCAACGGCACAGTTTATAGATCAAGAGTGTTCACTGTTATTGGAGAACTATGAGGAGACTGACTGGCTGTTTGTTTCCAACTATCTTTAGAAATCTAAATAGTCCCAGTGTTTGCTCATTTGATGTTGACCTTTATCTGATACCAAGAAAGAAAAAGAGCTGTGTTCACTACCACTGTGTTCTACCAATTGTTTCACTGATGCTATTACAGGTTTGGTTGGAACTTCTGAAGCCCATAACAAAGCAAGTGAAAAGTAAGTATGGAAGATCACTCAAGGAATATAGTCCTCAGTTCATGCTTGAAAAATACTCCTATAGCCCCACACAACTCCTCACTATACGAAAACGGGAAAAGGGGAGGCAGCTTAGATTGCATCAGCCCGTCATCTGGCCAGTAAGTTTAGCAATAGAGAAAATTGTCTGAATTTTGTCTGAGATGAAGAAGCTCAGGTGCTGGGTCTTGGAGTATGTCTGAAGACTTCTGGTAATGATGCCACCTGTGGATTGCATGAAGGAATATATCTCACTCTGGACCCCGTGACTCTTCAAGAACCCTTAGTGTAACCCTGCGATAATGTTGACCTTCTGCCTGAAGATTCTTTCCTTTCACGCCATCACAAGCCTTGGCATTTGCTTCAAGTTATGTTTGAGTGATTCCTGTATCTTACCCTGGACCTCATTCATGGAACAAGGGTCCTGGGGCATGCCCATTTAACTAGTTCCACAGGCTATTTTGCGAGGGGGGTCTTTTAACACTTTGAGAAACCTTGCTTTAGTCTGTCTTCCTGGCTCCCTGGTCCACTCTGTTCTTCACATATTGATACACCTATGACTCTGCTTCCCTGGGGTTCTTTGATTATGTCACCCAATTTCTGTAGCTTCTGAACTGATTTTCTCCAATTCAGCATCCATATTGCTCTCCAAGGGTTCGACTGAAATATATAGTCCTGACCACATCTCCCTTCTGCTTAAAATGCTTCCCTAATTACCTGTGAAGTCCAACATTATTAACATGGTACACAAAGCTCTTGGCTCTATTTCATTTCAATTCCTTCCTCTGCTAACCTAATTAGCTGTCAACTCCTCCAGGAAGGCTTCCTTAACCTAGGCTGTGCGGTACTCAAATTCCTCTGTTTACTTATTTGTCTCTCCAACAAGGCTGGGGACACCAGTGTCTTTTAAATTCCACAGTGTCTGCGTAGAATAATATCCCTCACATGAAGGGCATCCAGAAAAGATAGATTTAATGAATGACACTGTTGCTTCTCGTTTGTGGTTACTTTTGATCTAACAAACTTTATTCTTTTTTTCTGGTACTGGGGATGGAACCTCAGACTTTGTACATGCTAGCAAAGTGTCCCACCATTGAGCTTCACCCCCAGCCTCAAGTTTCTCATTTTCAAATGCAAGTAGGTGTGAAAATATGTAGACAGGCTTTCTTAGGGGTATATTTTTAACGTTGATAGAGGCATTGGTCCACATTGCTTCTCATTCCTGTTATGAAAGAAATCCTTAAGACATCCATTCATGTGTTTGAGCTGAACCTGGGCCCTTTTCTCAGGCAAGATAGAACATTCACAGATAGCGAGTTGTAAATAGTGTTTCAGAATAACTCACTTCTTAAGAAAGGGCAGAGTAGGCCTCAAATGGACATATCTTTACAAAACAAACCCAAATGGAGAAAGGGTGTGAAGGGGGCAGATGAGTTGGAGACTTTCTCGATAGCTATACACATAGGCTCACAACCCCAAAATGATAGCAGGATACATGTCAAAAACTGAAATGTAAAATAAGTCTATGGGAAAGGATAACGGAGAAGGGATGGAATCTCTCTGTGTCAGTGTGTGTGTGTGTGTGTGTGTGTGTGTATCAGTGTGTGTATCAGTGTGTGTATGTATATGTATGTGTGTGTCAATGTGTGTATAAAGGGCTTTGATCTTGTGTGTGTGTGTGTGTGTGTGTGTGTGTGTGTGTGTGTGTGATCTTAACTGTTGTAATGAACATTTAATAAAACTTATGGAGATATTGTGTTTTAAGATCCTAAGGAGGTTGTTTTCAAATTTATGGTGAAATTTTTCCCAGTGGACCCTGGACACCTTCGGGAAGAACTCACAAGGTAAAGTGTTTAACTGTGTGTGTGCTGAATGACGTTACCTGAGAACACCCAATCTCCAGCTATTGAAGAAAGGGCTCGGGCTCCTTTTTGCATGGCTTAGGTTTAATTCACTCTCTGAGACAAGGTGAGGGGCTAGGAAGAGGGAGGATCTGGCTGTTCCTCTAAATGTTAATCTCTCCAGATTTCAGAACTAAGAATGGATGAGTGGCAAACCTGGGTGGCATTTTGAGGCTTAATCCGCTAACTTCCACAACAGTATGCATGCTGTTTCATGCCATCTGTGTTTCAGTCAGCATAGCTTTGAGGCCATCCAATGCTCATGAGCATTGAAAATGAATGTGTGTACGGATGGATCCCATAGGCAGAAAGGAAACATTCTTTAATGACGATATATGCTTATGAAAATGCTCTTTATAATTGCAGTGGAAACCTACTTTAGCAAAATGGCATTGTCACTATAACACTCCCCCAAAACATAATCTGCTTTCTAGACTGAGACTGCTACATACCATTAAGGAACATGTCCTGGAAGCTAAAGTTGACTGAATTAGAAACCACAGGTTCATTTCCCTGGCGTCCACCCCTACCACGTGGGGCAGATTGACTTACTTCTTTGGTGTGGAGTCTTTGTGCAGTTGCTTGCCCTGCCTTCCCTAGTTCTCTCCACATTTGTCTGCTGTCAACCACTTGCCAAGATAGGTTGATATCTTGCTATGTAAACTAGTTTACATTCACTAACTCTTTGTGGTTGGGTTTTAAACTATGACCAATTTTGATGGAGATTGACCTTTTCAAAACTGTGAGAAAACAATAATTTGATGATAAATGTTTCATCACTTATTCAGAGGAAGGATCTGAAGCAGGCAGCTGCTTTCTTAGGAGATAGCCATTACTACTGAGGCATCTTGTCTTCTTCCCAGCAACGGATGATCAAATGACAAAAAGCTTCCTTTCTCCTTGCTAACAACAAACTGAAATTTTCTTTTGCTTTTGAAATCATATACATCTATATTTGAAAACAGGCACGGGTAAATGTTAGGATTACATGAAGTTTTCCTTGTCATTTTATTTAAGAATACTTAACTGAGCCAGGTGTGATCACTCATGCCTGTAAATCACAGCACAGGTAGAGGCAGGAAGACTACCATGAGTTTGAGGCTAGCCTTGGATATGTAGGGAATGCTAGGCTAGCCTAGCTATAGAGCAGGAGTTGCTCACAGACACACACACACACACACACACACACACTAACCCAGAAGCAACAACTAAAAGGAATAAGTTACCTGTTGTAGAGATTAAAAATATTCCTTGTTTGGTGCCAATGCATGGATTTCTGAGAATATTATACAAAAATAACTGTTTTAACTGAATCATTTCTAGAGCATTAGAGGTACTCACAATTTATAGGGACATAATGGTTAAAGCTTCCATGAACTGAAAAATCACTTGACAAGATTGTTCAGAGCAGATTTCTATTTATCTCCTGTAGCTAGTTATCTGTTACTACATTGCCTTCAGGGCATTAGCTACTGAAAACTCCACATAGAATTTAGTCTGGAAAATTCTACTTATATAGGGAAATACAGTGGGTAATGCATGTTTTTGCATCTAGAAGAAAACAGTGGAACTGGCTTTTGCTCTGGACAAGAAAGCAGACAACAGTAGAGCCTTTCTTATACACTTACCAAAATATGGGCACTGGGCCTGGAGAGATGGTTAAGTAGAAAAGCACTTGCCACACAAGTTCAAATCCCTGCAACCCACAGAAAGCTGGAAACAGGCACACCTCTAATTCCAGAGCTTCTACATTGAGATGAGAGGCATACCTAAATGCTTGCAATCCAGCTAAATTACATAAGGTGGAAGGCAGGGACTGACACCCAAAGTTGTCTTCTGACCTCTGGACACACACACACACACACACACACACACACACACACACACACACACACACACACACACACGAGTTCTCCTTTACTAAGGCCTTAAGTGGGTTTGACAAATATTCAGTTCAGCAGAGCCCTAAACATAAACCTGCATTTTGTAGTCCTGGTATGAAGCTTCTGCATTCCCTGAACTCATCAACCATTAGTTTCACACCTACTGTTTGTAAAGCACTCAGATGGGCTCTGGTTGATGGTAACATAGCAATCCAGACAAGGGAATAATGTGGGCACAGACACGGCTTAATGGCCTTGATTCCTGAAATATGCTCTTTGGGTAGGTAGTCTACATTTAGCGTCAGATGTTAGGTTCTGGCCATAGTTTCAGTACCTTAGAGTGCTACCAACTGGTCAGAAGGGCTTGGCCCCTGTCTTGGTATCATCGTATCATGGAGTGATTGATCCTGTTCCACTAGCCTCTGGAATTCTTATGGCCCTGCCTACCTGACAGCAATTTGTGCTCCCCAGAGTCTGCTCAGGCCTGCTGAGGCTCCTGCTTCTCTAGCTCAGGGTGTGGTTGTTTCCATGGCGTGAAGTACCAGAAGAGGGTTGTCTGGGTCCCTCAAGCTGGTGGCAGCCTACAGCCGGGGCAATTCCTAACTGTTGCAGAACCTGCCAATGGGCTGGGTCAGCCAGTTGTGGGCTGGGATTGGTTTGGTTCTGAAGCAAAGTGTATGCACGATTCACCACCCCAAAAAGGCCCTCGAGTGTCCATATGCTGCTCCTTCCTTCAATTATCCTGGGTCTGGAAGAAAGGAAAATTTCCTTCTGTCTTCCTGCTTCTTTGTCAAGATCTTTTCCTCAAATCCTTTGCAGGTATCTTTTTACTCTTCAGATAAAGAAGGATTTGGCTCTGGGAAGGCTTCCATGTAGTGACAACTGCACAGCGTTAATGGTGTCACACATCTTACAGTGTAAGTACCAAAACTACTTCTTGGCCCATTCACCAGGAATAGAGCCAAGCCAAGGAGGTAAGCACCTCCAATCTTCCTGCCTGGCACTGTATTCAGCCCTAAGGGGAGAGGCAACCTGGTTCAGACACAGTGAAATGATGCTTCATCACATTCATTGAGATCCGAGTGAAATCTTGCCCCTACTACCTTGCCATTACAGTAAAGCAAGCTCCCTTATTTCTCTGGGCCTGAATATTCTTGTATTTAAAATAGTGACGAAAATGCCATCTCATGGAGGTGCTTCTGATGGCTTTGTCCTATCTCAGTCTACCAACCCTGCTGTGTCACTCACTGTCCCTTGACTTGCTGTCCAGGATCTGCTTTGAATAATTCTTGCCATGAATTTCACCAAGTAGTCCACACTCCCTCTGTTGGCCCTAGTTTATATCTCAGTTCCATGTTTTCTACAGAGAATAAACATGGAATGGAGAAGGTGGAGAGGCTAAAAGGCACCTGGCATAAATGAATGTTTTCCATGTGTTAGCAGG